GCAATGTTTGGGGGATGGACACGCTTGAAGCTCTTACTTGAGGGGGAAGGGGAGTATGGGCAATATATGTAACCTTAACACTTGTACCCCCATAATATGCTAAAAAAAGAAAAAAGAAACCATCTTGATAAGAGAAAACTTCATGAAGGTATAAACCAGTGGCTGTCAACCCCGGGTAAAACTCTCTAATGAGGACAATATGTTCAGTATGTTTCTGTATATGTCCTGCACAACAAGAGGCATAAAGTGAGATAAAGCACATATTAATTAAAGTGCTTTGTGCAATAAAGATTAAAGACATGTTAGATGCTAAGTATTAAGTAGCCTCCGAGACAACCCTGAGAGGAAGGCAGCACAGTAACTGACAGCACAACACCTGGCCCTGACTGCCTCAGTTCCAGTCCTGGTTGTAGAGCGTGGAGGCTGTGTGTTCCAGGGCAAGTGACGAAAACTCACCCACAGTTTCTACAGCTCTAAAGGGGAGATGTCTGAGATAGTTTTGAGCATTAAAACCATATAATAGAATGTAAAACCCTCAAAATAGTGGCATATATGATTACTACAAAGTGGCAGGTATTATTAATCTGTGTGCAATCTGTTGATGATTAACAAGATCCCAATTGAGTGCCAGTAATGATTTTTACTGTCATCTCCTTGGAAAACAATACCTTTCTTTGGAACCTGATAAAATATTTGTTAAATTCTCCTGCAAAACTTTACAGAAGAGTGAAGGTAATGAAAGTTTGAGAAAAAGCAATCATTTGACTTGTATGACACATTAAAATCAATTTAAAAGCAACATCAATTAAAATAGTATAGTACTACTATGATCAACTACAGGATAACTCAAAAACAGATTTTCATACATGTTGAACAGAGAATCACAAAGGAAGAAATGAAGATTATTTTAAAATGGTAAAAAATATTATTCAAAAAACTGGTTAACTATTTGGGAAGCAAAATTATATTCTTAATCTTATTACATTCCAGCTATTATGGTATTAAACATAAGATATTAAAAACCTGGCAGAGCATGGTGGCTCACGCCTGTAATCCTAGCACTTTGGGAGGCTGAGGCAGGAGGATTGCTTGAGGTCAGGAGTTTGAGACCAGATGCACAGTCTCAGCAACATAGCTGGGCATGGTGGCACGTGCCTGTATTCCCAGTTACTCAGGAGGCTGAGGCAGGAGGACAACTTGAAATCCAGGAGTTCAAGGTTACAGTCAGCTAGGATTGTGCCACTATTCTCCAGCCTGGGAGACAGAGCAAGACCCTATTTCAAAAAAAATTAAAAATAAAATAAATAAATAAATAACCTTAATAATCTGGAAAAGCATGCAAATATTCATCTGATCTTTCTCAAAGAGGCTTAAGTCATTGTTGAATATTTTATGCTATAGGCTTCTCAATTTTCTAAAACTCTTCTCCAGCTTATATTCTATTAAACGCTTCTTTGTTATCCCTGCCCATGTATCATAGCCATGTGTTTTCTTCTTTAATTAGCTGAACCCATCTTTATTTTGCCTAAACCCACTTAAAAAGATTATTCACTAGAGCTGAGGAAGTTTCAAAGCGACTAGATGTTAGCACTTCCGCCAAAGGGCTATTTCCTGATTTCACTCCATGTGTTTTATCCCTCCTCCATCTAGGACTCTAGCTCCTAGCCTCCCGCCTCAGGGGTTACACAGGGGCATCTTAGCGCGTCCCCTCTCCCTTTATGTCTGTGGTGCACTGTTCTGCCAGTCACCAGGTGAAGGGATTTGCACCTTCCAAAATCGATGCCACTTCACTCCCGGATCACCTGGTGGGAGTGCAGTCTGAGCCAGGTAACCCCTGCTGAACCGGTCGTGTGTCCTCCGTCTGCTCTGGTGCAGAGAGTACCAACTCCCAGGACGTGCGCTTGTCTGCTATGGCCCCTGGACGCCTCCTTCCTGCATGGCAGCATGAAAACGCTACACAACCGCTCCTTACCTGCCCAGGAGTGCGCAACGACGCCATGCTGCCGTGGTCTGTCTTAATAACCCGATTCCCTTCTGTTGTTCCCAGTGGCTTGGTTTGCTTTCGACCCTGGCTCAGCGCACTCAGACATCATCTTCTCCAATGACAACCTGACAGTGACCTGCAGTAGCTATGATGACCGGGTGGTGCTGGGAAGACTGGCTTCTCCAAGGGCGTCCACTACTGGAGTTAACGGTAGACCGCTATGACAACCACCCGGATCCTGCCTTTGGCGTGGCTCGCATCGACGTCATGAAGGATGTGATGTTAGGAAAGGACGACAAAGCTTGGGCAATGTATGTGGACAATAACCGGAGCTGGTTCATGCACAACAACTCGCACACCAAAGGTACCCTGCAGCCCCCGAACCAAGCCTTCTTCATGTTGGCTTCTGGTCAGCAGTGACAGCCCAGTTCAGAGACCTATTATTAATACATAGACAACATTAAGGAAGTCAGGCAGGTGGCCTTGAGCAAGTAGCACAGGTGCTCTATTACTTAGGTGAGTCTGTCCTGGTTTATTTTTTGCATAAAGATAGAGATGTGAGCACTTTCCTAGGCCCTTCCTGCCCATGGCTGGAAACTGAGAGTCTCATGCATATCCATTATAGGAAAGCAATCCAGGATTCTAAAACCCACACCTACAACTTTCCAGAACAGTGCTTTTGGACATATTACTTCATTTTTCTGAACCTCAGATTCCAAATCTTTCCAGTGTAATAATATTTTTCAATACAAGTGTGTTCTGAAGATTAAATGCCTCACATTGAAGGCACCTGAAAATAGAGAAGCCATTATTCTTCTTATGATTCATTAAATCTATGGATACCAACTTGGATAGTTTCACACTTAAAGAACACTCTTATTATTGTATGAATTGAAAGCATCCATTTGCCAAGGAAAGAGACTATTGTAATTTCCTTAAGGGTTTCCTCTACCACCAAAATATAGACAATTAAATTTAACTCATACTGTAATTTTTCCCCATATTTCCTTTTTCATTTGGTTGTGTTCTCATCTTCAAGTATATTTTGCACAAATTTGCACACAGAGAAGTGCCTATCATGGATCCTGGTCCACCTTATTCTCAATTTCCCCAAAATACACATTCATTGTGTCTATTAAAAAAATGAAGTTGTGTTCAATCAACTGAAAGGGAAACAAGCCAGGACTCCATCATTTAAGCTGTTTCTGTATGCTCATCACCGACCCTCTCTAGCCTCTGAGGGCCTCCTGTTCTCTTCGATATTTTCTATCTATTCTCCATTCAGGTGTGTATTTTTCGCTATCACTTGAAGTGAACACACACGCCATTTCAACTTGATATCAAATCCTATGGGATGTACATAAGCACTTATCTTCAGTGATTGACATCTTGCGGAACTTTCTGTCACTAGATTCCTGATGCCATCACCCACACACCACACTCACCTTTTCCCTTTTAGCGTCTTTATTTTGGAGTGAAGGAGTGAATAATAACATAACCATCACGCTATGCAGTGAAACACATTTTTAAAGCCGAACACATCTGCTTGCATGCCAACTGCATGTCACTTGTGCTTTCATTGTTAAACCTGTGAATTAACAAGATGCAATTCGTAAACTGTCTTTTAATGGCTGTATACAGTCTGTATCCTGCATGCGAGAGGAAACGAATGACACTGTCTGTGCTCTGCTGAGATGAGGATGAATTCAATATTGCTAGATCTCAAAAAGGGAGGAAAGACAAATCTGATTATCCATGTTTTAATGGCGTTTTGCAAAATCATCAATTGAAGCATAAGACACAGTTCTTTGTAAATGACATTTACATGCAGTATCCTTAAAATCACCACATTTCCTATAGTATAATTATTTCACTTTACAGGGAAGAATCCTCTTCTTTGATGTCATTTTAAAGAGAGACTCTAACATCTTAATTCCAATGCAGCATGCCAAAAAATAACCATCTTTCTGGAATGAGTTTTTCTATTTAATGGGTAACATAAGGCCCAAACTCTAATTTCTCATGCATATGTTTTAGGTTCAATCTAAGTGCTTCTTTATTTTGACTTTCAGATTAAGTCATTCTGTTATTTAATGATGTTTAATTCACACCATGTGTGCACAGTGTGCAACATTTGCACACAGTCAGAACTCTGATAGCCCAAAGGCTATTTTTCCCCCTAGTCTTTAGTGTTTAGTTTCCCACTGTGGCTCAGTGGTAGAGACCCTGTACAAATGAGTTCACTCTCAGCAACAGCAGAGCAACCTGTGCATCCTCAACAGGGGCCGATATCTCCTCCAAGGGAGTGAAAATTGGGAGCGGGGAGCAAAAAATCTTCCCTCTCTCTCTCCTCCTCTCTCCTCTCTCTC